ATTTCTAAATGAATGTTGACATAACAGAATAGAAATACATATTTAAATACATATTTATTGCAATTTATCCTTTTCACATCCTACATACAGGATGTATTAAAAGCATACAATGTAACTGCATTATTTATACAGCATATATGAAAACTGTATCCCAAAATACTTTCCAGAGTTTCTGGAATAAATCACAAAAGAATACTTATCATGGTACAAATGTAGTCATACAATTGACTTACATTTAATGCACTTTCCGGGACCTATCTATATGGCTTTTGTTATTGATGACTACAGAAGTCTTACTAGTTTCTAATGTTATAGTACTAATTAACCCAATCTCATGATGACAAAATTTATACTGAAGTGTTAGTCTTTTCAGTCAGATTCGTTATTATCTATGCTAATTTATGTTGCTGCTGATTTGACTGGAAAGCTCTACATTTTCATGTAACAATTTATATAAATACTGTTCATCTCCTGTTCTTCACAGTTACCAAATTTAGATGGTCATGCAGCTCACTGCACATCAAAATGCTCTTAAAATATAGCATAGGCTTGAATCCTTATTTGGTTTAGGAAAAAAAAATATTTCACTAAATAGTCAAAATAGAACTTACATAGAAAATGTTTACAGGAAAAATTCATTGCCTTTGCAAGTCTCAGAGTTAAAATAGCTTGCAATATTTTCACAGGAGATCCTTGGGAGTATATTAAAAGTAAAACGAAATTTCTTTTGAGGTCTGGGTCTAAACAGCACTTTGGTACTTCATCCTGCCCTCTCCTACCATTCACTAAGCACCTCAGCCACCAGGTTCTGTTTCCCGAATTCTGGCCAAAACCAGAGGGATAAAAGTATTTGTAGTTATTTAAACTTGTCAAGTTAATGTCTTTTACAACAACATGCATTTTCTTTTTTCTATAAATACCACCTTCATCTAAAGTTTGAAGGTGACTTTCACACTCCACGGTTCAGAATTAAATTCCTGAACCACAGAGAGATTATTTGGGCACAAGAAATACTAAAGCTGCATCCCTAATGGACATTAGTCTAGCCAGTTTGGATTAGTTTTTATCCTTCTCTTCAAAAACAGATACTGTCCAAATATTTGCTGTCACCAGCCACAAGAGGGAGATCTGATTACACAAGTACAAAGCTTATCCTTGAAATTCTAGTGGGTCATTACCACTCACGTCTTGGGTTCATCAACACACATTTCCAACTTAAATGTGATCTCTTTTAGAGTTTCACTTTATGATTTTAGTTGTTCAGAATTCATTTAGTTATTGATCAAATTAACTGTTATTTGGGAACTTTGTTCAGCAAATTGAGTCTCTCAAATTCACTCAAGCATCAAAACTTCAATCAGAAATACCCTGTGCACTGCTAAGGCTACAACGTATCCACTTGTTAGCTATTTCCATGTCTTCGGTATTCAGGTATAAGACAATTCCTCTGCTTTGCATAATGAGAGGGTGATCTGTCTGAGGACTGGTTTTATAGGGAGCAGACGTTATTGCCAAGGACCTTCTCTTCAAGCCCTTTCCCACTCCAGGGGTTTTGCACCTCTTCTCTGGGAGAAGCTATGAAGCAAATGTGTGGCATTATGTCCATTTACTCATGTGACAGCTGGAGGGTTTTCTTTGCCCTTTTGATATCCACAAGATTTTTTCCACTTCCTCATCACAGAGTTTCCTTTTAGATATTTAAACTAATGATGTATTTTTTTTATTGTTCCTTTTTCAAAAAACATTGAGCAGCCGCTAATGTTTACAATTTACATACCAGTGAAAATTATTGGCTTCCTTCACACAGTAGATAATTCACGTTTTTGTTAATGGCTTTGATTGCAATTTTTTCTTAAATTTTGTGCATAATACAATCCATAATATTGTGTTTGACTTTTTAGAAAGAATTACCATTTTAAGTTCTCAGGAGCTGAACATGTCAGAAGGAAAAGAGCTTCCTGTTTTATGTTGTATATGCTTTGATTTTATCAAGCAATTGATGCTCCTACAGGATACCTGTACCATATCAAAACATTCTTCAATCCATCTTCCAATACAGGCTTCTTTGTTGAGTAGTTAAACAGCACAGCTACAGAATAAACAAAGTTCTTTAACAAATTCAGAAACTTAGGAAATAATGCAGGAACAAGATTTGGATTATGAGGTCAATCTTACTATTTTAAATACAATTCTACTGTGTATACTTAACTTGAAAAGACAACAGTGATTTTAATAGCTTGCGTTAGACTGGAGATAAATGCAATCACTTTGTGAAGCCCTGTGGCAAGGTGAGTACCGCCTGGGACTGACATTCAGTACAAGAATATAAATCATAAAAAACTTGTTTGTTTTCTGTAACAATTACAGTAATTTTTTTAAAATGCCCTTTCATGTTAATAGAACTACAAGACAATAATTCATAATTCATTTTAGTTCACTAAGACTGGGAGACCATAACAAGATGTAAAAAAAAAATACCTTATATATTTCTTACTTGGTTCAGTACTAGATGCAGTCATTCTTGCTGATACTTTGAAGTCAAGGATAAGATTTTAACTGCTGGGACGGAGGGGTGGAAAGAAAACAGAAATCAAAAACCTGATTCAGGATTGCTATTGCTGTAGCAATTGAAGGGACTGCTGCAGGTTGCTGTAGGCAAAATTCTCTTTAGTGAAAATTCCTTCCTCTAACGGAAAAGTAGAGAAGAGTGACAGGGATTTTCCTGCTCAATTATTATTGCATGTATCACCAATAGTCACTCTACCCCACAACCGAGGAAGTGCAAACCAGTGCCTCAGTCCTACAAAACAAAATGCATTAGAATCTACTCTATCACTTCCTGTTTTGAGCATCAAACATGACACTCATCTGCATGCACTGAGGGAATTGTTTGAAATAGCCCAGCTGCATCTCTCCCTCCCAGCGGAAGAGAGCTGCCTGCCAGTGAACTTCTTCCAGGTGAGCAGAGCCCTCAGCTACACCAAGTCTCTATGCCAGGCGTGAACAGCCCTCACACTTCATACATGGACAAAGGGGGAGCTTTCAGATTAATGCCCTCTGCCAGCATCGTTTCAGATACTGCTTCTAGTAGTATGGAAAATAAAATATATTAGAGCTTCATTACACAGACAGAATTACAACTGAAGGAAAAAACAAAACAAACAAACCAACCCCACAACTGCACAGCTACAGAACTCCTTCCTTACAGGCTTTTGAAATGACACATTGCACTAGACAGCTTCTGAAGAAGCAATGTCGACTGCCGTTTCACTCATCCCACTTCTTCCACATTCCCCTCACAGTTAATGTCAGTAGTAACTTCAGATACGAAGTTACTAAAAAGCTGCTTTCAGGATAAATTTAGCAAGACTCCATGCTGCTGTTCTCTATGACTTGACAAAAATTTATCTAATCAAGCTGCAAAGGCGCAAGATATTTGCTCATATTTAGAAAGCATGTTGACTTGAATGCTCAAGATGTACTGTTCTTTGTGCTAAATTCCAACACTCTCTTGAATGGGGTGTATGTCCTCACTGGCCTTGCACTTTCAGGAGATCTTCTGTTCTCAGTACTTGTACTGTTAAGGAAACAAGAAAAAGCTCACAGAGTTAATGTCAAGGGTATCGGGCAGCCGGGCTGGAAAAGCCATGCCAATTAACTTGTGCCTTGCTATTGATATTGACAGGCTAAAATTAAACTATCCAGTGTATTTGATGTGTTCCATATTTCCCTTCTATAATGCCACAAAGAATGTTTGATAAAAACTGTGGCAGATACCGATAAATTTACATGCAGGCATCTGCTGGAACTCATATGGCAATGTCCACCACTCCAGCTACTAGGACTAAGGATCCTGCAACAATAAAGACAGCAATATTATTTTTAAGAACACAATTGATTGTGAAGAGTAAATCCATAAAATCTAAACTGTATAGTGGTACATTTCTACATAGAGATAAATCTCAAAAATAGGAAAAATAACAGATATGTAGCATACAGAAGGGCTCCAAAGAGGCCAAAGATAGCTTTCTGCTGGCACACTGGGTAAAAACTGCGGGTTTTGAGCTTTCACCATTAAAATAGGCTCTAGGCTGAACACTGAAATGTGTGTATTTTTAAACTGGGATGGAAGTTTTAGTTTGTAGCGCAGCTTGATGATCTCATATACTAATTTACATTCCCCAAACTAAATGACTCGATTTGCAGGACAGTTAAGATGAACAAGGTTACTTGTTGGTAGAAGCAATGTGCAAAGCTCCTTCTTACCTCACTGTCTTGCTTTCTGTTTTACCCTTCCCTGTGATGACTTGTGATTCAAGGGCAAGCCCACAGCCTTGCTCCCAGGGCCCAGCTCAACCCTGTTGCTGTGTTCAGGGCAGAGAAAGGGGAGGAGAAGGGGAGGCAGGACACCTGGATCTTCACAGAGCGAGGCTCCAGAGCCACAGACAACTACTGCAGTGCAGAAGCAGTATTGTTCTTGCGCTGTTTACTTGGCACTCTTCCGCCTAGAGCTAGGAGTTTTCCAGAACTTGCTGCAGCCCTAAAACTGTTACTGCTGGTGTTACTTGCCCTTTAAAATGGTCCTGGCTGCATCTCCCAGAACACAAAGAATAAAGCATGCATGAAGCCAGCACTAACCAGCCACAGGGCAGAGCTGGCCATTACCTTCTGCTGCGCTGGCAGCAGGCATGTTTCATCAATATTTCCCATATTTCCTAAATTCAGATCTCTTGACTTCTAGTCCTACTCGCTGCTTAAATCATGTTATAGTAAATAAGTACTCTGCAAGGTTTTGCAATATGTTTGCACCTTTAAAAAAAAAAAAAAAATCTTTCTCTGTAAGACTACAGTACACCTAGTAGATGTGCTTTTCTAAACTTACGAAAATTTTCCACAACTCCATAATCCACTCTAACAGTTTATTAGAGCAATAGTTTACTCATATAGAATTTGGGCCATTATGAAGAATTTTCCTATGAACGAGCAGAAAAAGTAAATACCTGTATGGAAGATCACATTCTACACCGGTATCTCTGGTTTCTATATTGGTCTTTGGTTGGTTTTCCATTAAGTAGTCCAATTTATCTTGTAATTCTTTATTCTGGAAAACAGTAAGTTTCATCACAAGTTTCTTTTATTTAGATTATGTTAATTAAACATGGAAATAAAATTGCATATTGGCATATCCTTACAAGAAATAATGTAAAAGTAGGTATGGAGAAAATAAAGGAATTTGGGGAAAAAATAAAGTTAACCAAGTGATATTCAGAAGCTTGTGTTTTAAGCAATTATAATACTGTTATAAAATTGTATGTTAAGAAACTTAGCATGAATATTGAGATAGTGTATTACATACATTCCTCATGTGACTGGCATAATAAATAATTTTCATACTAAAGAACAGCAAATACATATAGTAAATGTGCATCCAGATAACATCAGGTGACACTGGTTCAGATTTTATTTGATTTCATAAAATATTAATAATAATATAAATATAAAAGGTAATGCCTTACCTCACATTCTAAGAAAGAGATTTTTTCTAAAAGCTGTATTATAAATAATTCCTTTTCTTTTACTTTCTTCCTTAGCATTTCAATCTGTGAGGCAAAATAAAACATTTAGTCTAACGGGGGTGGGAAAAGGAGGAAAAAGACCTAGATACCACAGGAAGAAAACATGTTAATATTATTCACCAACTGCTGAATGTCTATACATATTCACAAACTGCTTGAATTCATGGATTAGCTATCATCCCCTACAGTTAGGATTGTTCGTATAAAGAGGATGCACATACACTAACATGGCTTTTAAGAATTAGTATTTTTCTGGAAAGAATGGAAACTCCAACACTGTCACGTAACAAGGCAAACTCGGGAAAACTCAATCTTTGACTCAAAGGCCTTTGCTCTGCTCAATTCTAACTATACTCAAAAATATGTTGCACATTTGCTAATTGCTTGAAGGTCTTTGTTGAGTTATTTCCTTGCACACTCCTGAGAAAAAAAGCGCATTTTCATTTTATACCCAGGGAATGGAAAGAAGTTATTTTAACTTTCATGAATGTTTGTAAATAAAGTTAGTCCCAGTGGAAGAACTGCATCTTAGTACTGTTCTATATGGAAGAGAAGACAATCTTCCTTATATTCTGGGGTTTCTGCTGGCCATAGAGCCATACCACAAGAACTTTAAATCTTTCCCTCCTACCAGCAGAAGCAGGTATGACCAGAGAAACTGAGTAAGACCCAGTTTTCATACCAGTCCCTTGCTGCTGGCTCAAAGCTGTTCTGATTGCATGGAAATAGCTTACTAAAGCTCCTAAAGCCACACTTTTCCTTTTCCGTTCTTCTGAACCCTTTGCTCAAAGCAAGATTTGCTGTGTGAGGTGTATTGCTGTTCTCAGCAATAGTCTAAGAGACCTGTTGACTGGGCCAGGTGACCACATTTAGGAGACAACAGCATCTTGTGCAAACAAACTCAATTTTCTCCTTGGGCCAAAGGAAAAGTCACTTCTCTCTCAATCTCTGCTGACTACACCTACTAAAATAGCGGCTATTAACAAGAAGAAACCAAACCAATAGCTGGCTATTCCCGCTCGGTCCCCATATGTTGCCTGGTCTAGTCGAGAGGTGGCGTCCCTGCCCATGACAGGGAGGTTGGACTAGATGATCTCTAAGGTCCCTTCCAGCCTAGGCCATTCTATGATTCTATGATTCTAACAACTTCAGTTGTTACTGCTTCCCCAGGAGGCAGTGCAGGTTGTTACTCATAGACAGCTGCAGGCACACACAACTTGAAAAGCACAGAGGACAAGGTGCTTTCTGTATCTGTAGTTAGTCTACTTCAGGTGCAGGAACAAGTGTCAAAACTATTTATTTCAGAAGTGTGCTGAAAGATCAGTTTGAGGGAAAAAAAGGGATTTTGCCTCATGCTGGTGTGCAGGTAGGAACTGGGACAAGACAGATTTCCCTACTGTGCTCACACAAGTCTTGTCCTACAGCAACAGCAATGAAAGCTGATAGCAGTTGGTACTTTTTTTTTTTCCCTCTCAGTGTTAAGTAGTGTCAGATCAGTAATTTTTCCAATTAAATTTCAATCCCCCTTTCTTGAACAAGCCATTTCAGGTCAGATGACACGAAAGGGAAAAATCCTATTTTTCCCCTGTTAAGTCCACAGGAACGTGTCTCTGCTGAGGGACTGCATCATCATTAGCTAAGCCCCTCTCCCTGCTCCACACCAAATGTCTTGAAGTGGACAGAACTTAACGAACAAATTCTGCTTTACCAACTATATAAGGCAATCATCTCCACAATTCATTAAAGATACAGAAAGTTTCTTATCTTAAGCCTGAAAGTAGAATGAGGAGTAAACTGTAAAACAGATGTTCCACGTCACAAATGGAATGCCAGTCTGCCAGGTACTGCTTTTAGTAAAGTTTTCATTACTGTGTATATAAAAAAGTGCCCACCTTAAAGCTGTAAGATGAGCAAAGAAAGACACTCAAACTGCCATTACAGCACTAGAAAGCGTATCCTGCACATTATTTCACATTTTTGGGCAATATGCCAACAATGAAGAAAACCCAGATCTATGACTATAGCTTTATTTTTCACAAGAAAAATTTAAAAATACCTATGCATAATAAGAAAATAGGTATTTTCTATAAAACTTCCTATTAAGTGAGGTAGTTTTATTTCACCAGGTTATTGATTGGCAGGACAGAATTTTAAGGAAAAAAGTAAAAAGTAGATGTTAGTAAAAAAATTTAGTGGATTTTTGCTAACATAAATTCATTTTGTAGAACAGCCAAACTGAAATCAAAGAAAGCTCAGAATATATTAATTTTTCTTAGCAGTGATTATGTTACACTGATGTGCAAGAAAGACCACTTCTAAACATTTGTGTCAAATTTTCTGTGCACTCTCACCAGTCACTTTTAAACTCTCGATCTAAAAACAGTTTTGTGAAAGAACATTAACAAATCCCTTCAACACCACCTTTTTGAAATTTTCAGCTTGTCTGGAAACAATTATTAGTAGAAATATTCACATTCTGCTAAAAGAGAATGACAAAATACTCAAAGGTACAATAATCAAAACAACAGTAATACTTATCACACTCCCAATAATTTACTGCTAGGTATTATAAAACATTTCAACCAAAATGTACAGAAGTATGAAAAAAAAAAATGAAGCAACACAAATACCTAACTTAGAATTTCTAAAATCAGCTCAACTTTAATTTAGTCTCCCTGATCTTTGGTTATCACATCTCATTGACACAACCATGAGTTACTATCTGGAAATGTTAAAATGTAAATTCCATACAGTAAACATTTTCAGCTGAACAGTTACAGAATATATGAGTGCTATCATCATCCATCTTTCTTAATATCAGGTATGTCCTTTTCTTTTTTTTTCCTCTTTTAACTTGCAGTAAAAACTATCCATATCATCTAAAGCTATTAACATTTCAGTTTTCAAATCACAGAAACAGAAAGCTTGCAGCATTTGGGGAAAATCAAATAATATAATTTGATCTTCAGATTTAACTACAACTTTATGTAAAAGTATGACTAAGCTATATCTTCACTAGTTCAACAGCTTGAGTCTCGTCAATAAATTTTGCCTCAGAAAAGATAAACTATTAGAGCAGTCTGAAAGCAAGAATGAGCATGGGCACCTTAAAAAAATGTAACAGAGAATACAAAGACCTCAGCAAACAGCTTCCCCTTCTTCCCAAACACAAACCTGAACTCCAGAAAAGACATTCTGTAGTTTGGCAGGAATGTTACTGCTTTTACCTTTTGTTTTGTTTTTCTTCTGGCAAGAATCCTCTAAGGACTGGCAGATTGAACCATACATAAGCAGGGCCAGAACGTAGCAGGGCACCTGTACTTGACCAACGAGTTGTCTCAGCAGCTACTGCAGTCCAAGGGCTGAAACAACTTCTTAAGTTATGACACAGTTTTAAGCTGCCCCACAGGCCTGACAGAGACGACACATCTCACTGGAGTAGTTTACTATCAAAAAGTTTATTCACTCAATAAAGATTTGAGTACATATCATCTTAAGCCATTAGCACCAGGAGGGAGCAAACCTGATTTGATTAACCCTTGAGGAGATATGTCACAGGAAACAGGAATAACTTTAGGGAGAATATATTACAATATTAAATAAAATGCAAACTCAATTCATACATTTATATGCCACATTGCTTATAGTAAAGGTGATAGTTTCCTTTGAGAGATGAACGTAACAAGAACACTTGATCATAATGCTGATATTGGTTAAAAGCACTTAAAATGGTTGCCTTCTCACTTAACATCATTTAGAATTTTTCTGTTACAATGTTAGTTACGGCAAACTAAAATAAGATAATACTTACAGCAGCATAAACTCGTATTGCACAAACCCAAGTCCCAAGATTTTCTTTCTTTCAAGGGGTTGCATAAAGCAAGAGAACAACCAGCAGGTGATGAAACAATAGATTTTGACTTCTAGTTGAAGATAAGGTACGGAGAAGGAGAGGAGAAGCAAGACAGGTCAAGTACAATACTGAACTGAGAGCCCAAATGGTGGCTAGAATAGTCGAGGGTCAGAAACAGATCAGTGCATGCCAAAGACTGTCAACTTCCATGGACTGACTTTTGGGTCAGAGTCATTTTTGGACTGACTGTAGGACAGAATTATCACCAAGATGTTCCTACATTGTCTTTGCTCAATGCCCAAGGCCTATTCTACCTCATCCTTGCTGTGTCTGCAGACTTGAGCATTTCAGCTCACTGCCAGCTTCGTAACTTGCTCCCAAAACTGGCTTTCGCACAATTACCCTCTCACATTTTTCCATTATCTTTTACAAGCCCTATTCAGGTACATTCAGCCTCTCTTCCAACCTTCCCTAGAAATTCCCAGGTAGAATTCCCATAGCACTTACCCCTTGACCTGACTTGCACTCTTAGACTGACTAGACGTTCTTTTCCCTCCACGTTTCTATCAGTATTTCTCCAACCTCCACATCCCCATTTAGCAAACAAAACTAGGAACCTACACAGCAATATCTTTTTACATTAAGGCCCAACATGCAATGTGAGTCATCCTGAATTTATCCACTGGCTCAGGGTTAATATGGCCACAGCACTTCTTTTCAAGCTCTCTTTTCCTTGATTTGGTTCTATTGCTGTTATTACCTCTATGGTTTTGCCTCCTCCTGAAAACTTCAGGTCATTTCTCTCAAACTCCCTCAACATCTAAACTGTCATCTTATCTTGTAGCAACTCTCAGAAAATTCAATTCTTCTTGTCCATCCCATCAACGAAGATCCACTTCTTTCTCACTACTGCACCTTATAGACTCCAATATGTCTCCTCAAATATCAAACAAAATTGTCATCCTACTTGAATGGACTGTGTAACTGCTTTCTAGGAAGAGCTACACATCTGAATTTCTCTTGCTCCACCAAGAAACTAAACTTGGCTTCAGTAAGATGGAAAGATAGATGCACGAGTCAGCAGCATTAATCTCATGGACAGAATACCTAAGAGCAGCAGTCAAGAGAATTGCAAGACCTAAAGGAAAGAGTCTCTAAAGAAATGCTGGAC